GACAGCCCAGACGCGTCTGGGCTGTCAGCTGGCCGCGCGTTCCGCCGCCGCTTTGCTTCCTCTCCCTGGTCTGCTCGAGACCAGGGAGAGGAAGTGCCCCGTTCGTAACTGCGGATCCGACATAAGTCGGATCCGCGTAACTCGGGGACTGCCTGTATTTGTTGTTTTTTAAATTTATTATATTTCCAGTCCAACCAGAAGCAGGAGGTATGAGGAATATCTGAAAGTACTCTGTTATTAAAAAATTCCCAATCCAGTCTTGCAGAGGCAAGAAATTGTGTAATTCAATTATGGGATACAAATCAGAATTTTTAGTTATTTATTCAAACCAAAACTTTTTAAAGGTCCTCAATTAGCTAATATTGACCAAAACCAGGGATGAACCGAGTGTCACTGGTCACAGGGAACATGCTTAATACAAAATAAAGTGACCACAAAACTGGTTTATCCAATTAAGAAACTGTTTACCACTAAGTTCATCCTAAAAACTTCAGTCAAAAGTTATCCAAATCAGAAGCCCTGATCATAAGATTTCACAGTTTTGTATTGCTATGAACTTGATAAAATTTATTACGGGTTGCATTCAATCTTGATTCAAACTGATGGTCTTCATTTAAGATAGTTATAGAGACAGTTAAGGAGACACCCTATACTAAAGTCTAATATATTTTGCCCAGCAAGTAGCACCTTGTGGGCAAGAGGTTCCGATTGGTATTGTGAGTCAGTATGTGGGTAGATGGGGGAAAGAACACACAAAAACTGAGAGCAGACAAGAACAGTAGAGAGGCAGAAGCTAAAAAACAAGAGACAGGCAGTAACCTATGAGCACAGAGTGAGCCTGAGAAAAGCTAAGAGAGAGTGTTTTTGGCTAAGGTTTGTTGGCCAAAGAGACTGGCGGGGGCTACATACTAAAATACTGCTCCTTCTGTTATTAGGAACTTCAGAGGGTAGCCGAGTTAGTCTATTACAAGAAAAAAACAACAAATGGTCTGGAAACAACTACATGTTTTGTTAGTCTATAAAGTGCTACCAGACCATTTGTTGTTGTTTTTTCTTTTGTTATTAGTTTGTCCCATGTGCCAGGGAAGCAGAACTTAAAACAGCATCAAAGAAAATACCAGACTCCATCAATTTTTACTTCCAACTAGACAAACCCCAGGGCTCCAAAATTTGACTAGCTGTTTGTCTTGAAAAGGGGCAAAAAATATCAAAGAATTCCCAACTAATGTCAAAACCATCTTGACGAAAATAAAAAGTTTGCTTCCTTACCTGTCCAGAGCTGTGCTAGTAGGCATGCTTCTTCCAAACCCTCGAACACCCATCTGACGGAAATATGGAATGCAAGAAAGATTGGCAGCAATAATTGCCAGTGAATCAGAAGGGTTCACAAAGAAACCATTTTGACCTAGGATCATATAGCGGTCCTGAAAACCCATAAAACAGAAAAAAAGTCTCAGAGAATAATCAGGTCAAGCAATTTTATCTCTGTGATTTCTACACGCTTATCATCTCCATACCAAACTGTGTCTCCTTTCAGCCCAATAAATGAAAATCCCAAGACGCTCCCTGATTCCAGGCTCTTGCATGGTATTTTGATGGCTTGTGGCTGCAAAACTATCCTAGCATAAGATAATCTTTTTTTTTTCTGATGACATGTACTAGCCACAGACAGACAGTTAACATGTAATCTGAATATTGACAACAGTAAATGGTTTCAGAAGCTCAATAGCTTCTCTCTCATACATGCACATCACATACATCCATCTTGAGATGACACCAAAGTTATTGTTGTAATACAGTGGTCTTCAACCTTTTTAAACATGAGATCACTTTCTGAATTTAAATGCAATCCAGGATCTACCACAAACCCAAACACCCTTGCCCCGCCTCCTTCCTGTCCCATCCCCAAGCCCCCACCCTGCTCACTCCATCCTCCCTCACCTATCCTCACTCACTTTTATCAGGCTGGGGGCAGGAGTTTGGGGTGCAGAGGGGGTTCAGGACTGGGCCTGGGATTTGGAATGCAGGCTCCAGCTGGGCACCACTTACCACAGATGGCTTCTGGGTGGTGGTGCAGGGGGCTAAGGCAGGCTCACCCCTACCCTGGCCCTGCACTACTCCCAAAACCCAGCAAACTCTCTCCATCCTTGCCCCCCTCTGGTCTGTGCAGATAGGGTACAGGGTGAGAGGGAAGGGCATCGTGACATCAGCACCTCCCTTCCTCTTCTTCCAATGCCCTGCACAGCAAGCAGGAGACTCCCAGGGGTGGGGGGCAGCTCCAAGGCAGAGGGCAGGAGCAGCACAACAGTGCTTAGAGAGGCAGATGAAGTGCCGGCGCTTGATAGCCTCCAAGCCAAACCTCTCAGGATCACCTGTCAAAGGCTCCAAAATCTACCAGTAGATCCTGATCTACTGGTTGGTGACCACTGCTGTAATACTTTGCTGTTTATGTTGCTGGTAGCAAGTACGCAAGATTTTAAAACAAACGAAACCTGTGATTCTGTAGTGCCTGTTTTAAGTGCAGAAAAATCACTTAGCTGAGGCACAAAAGGAATCTTAGAATTTCAGCCAAAATTAACTTCAGCTGGTTACCAAGCCAATTTCCCTCATTTACATTGGCTGCATGTTTTCCCATAACTGTGAAGGCATGCTAACACTATGACAAATTCAGTCAAACATTTATACAGTCCTTAACCTAGCCTCAAAATTTGCAAGCACAATCAACTGAGGGCACAAGTAATATCATTTGGACCTATTTTGTGGGTACAGTTGCTATCGTCTCTGCCTGCAAATAACTGAATCCTCAAAAATTGGGCCGTTTATGCTTCAAAGTCTAATAGATGCACTAGCAAGAACGACACCCTTGACCCAAAACCCAGACTGGCTGAAATACTTACTCCATCAGCATCAAAAGCAGCTCCAAATCCATATTCTCCTCCTTTCATAGCCTCCAGCAGGGCAGTTGCATATGTTAAGTTTGGGTCAGGAAGCTGCCCACCAAAATCCTCCAGAGGAACACAATTTATTGCGGAATTTGCAGGAGCTCCTAACTCATCACACAGGATTCTCCTCACATAGGGTCCCATAACTGCAAAAGGAATTTGCCATCCATTTTCAATAGCACCCACACTTCAAATTCTGATGTTCACAACAGCATGGAAATCTACTAGAAGACTTAACTAGTGCACTCACATTGCACGCATATCTTTGTCATACCAACTGAAAGAAAAAACAAAAATATTTCACTGAACACTGTGTAATTCACCCTCCTCCAACCAGGGATATCAGTGAGAACTCAGAAGCAAAAGCATGGATGTCTACCATCTGAGTTAAAAGAGTAACTCTGTTAGCTGGTAATAGGAGCAGGCTCTTATCTCATATATGGGTCAACTATGTACAGTCATCATACATATTTGGGCCTTGTCTTCACAAGGAAAAAATTGTGTTAGCTAATACATAGTAACCAAGTAATAGTAAAATCTTGGACAGAACCATTGTAATTGTAACATGTATTATCAGGTCAAGGTAAATATTAAGGGAATAGACACAAATGTTTACCATGACCTGCAAACATGTATTAAAATGACAATCGCCTTGTCCACACTATTTTACCATGTGGTCACTTACCTGATTTTAAAAAAGCCATCTCTTCCTAATGTGGATTCACTTTCCTTATGTACAATTTGACCATTTATACCAATAACTAAAACTGTAAATATGTCATAAGTGACAGTCACATAATCCTCCATTTCTCAGCCATGGAATTTTTCTTCAAACATTTTTCTTAAGTATCATTGAATATCAATGCCAAATCTCCTACCATTAAGCCCCAGAAAATAATCTAAAATTAAAATGACACTGTTAAAAATACAAACTGCATTTATTAGCTAGTGATTGTGATGCACAGTCACTTATGAAACTGCTCTTCTTCACCATTCTCATCTTAAAAAAAAGAACGATCTCTTAAGCACAATGCTCATTAAAGGAGTCAGATTGAACACTAGGATTTGTGTCACGCTGTCATCCTGCAGGAAAAGTTTTTTTTACTATATAGAGAGATATGCAATAATCCACATTACAGTTTATATGCAACATATTTGTTCAGAAAATATAACAGACCGTCACTATCAAGAGATGGCATGTCCCTTTAACAAGTTCACTTTTTTAAACATGTACTGTGATATCTTTCTTCCACAAGCTGTTTGCCAAACCCTGCATTCCTTGTGCAGGGAATCCCCATCAAAACCAACAATGCAATTCCAAATAGGAATATACACGGTCAGTGAATATTAGCACTACTTCGTAATAAAATACCCTGAAATAGTTGACTGTTTTGGGCATCTTTTACCTTTTCTTTTTTTTTTTAAATAAAAACAACAGAAACTCATGGTCCTACCTCCATTCATGGCATCAATTCTTATTTTAAGCTGATTGGGTCCAGTCAGCAAGCTTCTGATCATGTTAAAGTCAAAGATAGTTCGAAGTAGATTGAGGTAGACATCCACTGAATCCACTATTTCCACTGGGGGAAACAAAACAAAAGAAGTTACTAAGTTGACCACATAGGCAGATGGACAAATTGATCACTAACCTCTCCAAAGACACCTAAACAATCCATTGCACACTAAACAAGATCAGATCATGCAACACTTAGGAATCTTGATCCAAATTCCACTTAAGTCAATTCAAAGACTCCCATTGATTTAAGTGGGGTTTGGATCAGACCTCAAGGCCTGTGTAAATCAATAGAGTTTTGGCTGCTTAAGGATTGCAGGACCAGAGCGTATTTGAGGTTTGTATTACTGTAAATGTATTTCAATAAAATATAATACACAGAAACCTGCAGCCCACCTATAACTTTCCCACAACCCACTGGGAAATGCTACTGCATGTGACACACCTAGACCCACCTAGGGAATGAGACGTATTTAACACATCAGGCAGAGCTGTACAGGTATCCCATATATAAGCCAAATGTCTCATTCCTTCACAACTTAAAAGAACAGTTTAACAACATGACAGTCTACCCAACTTGGCCATTGGGACTATTCTCACGCTTAAAGTTAAGTATGTGCTGAATCAATGCCTTAGATATTAATTCAGACTGATCCAGTGTGGTGCTTAACCACCTCCATACTTGGAATCTGAGAGGGGAGGGCATTTTACAGTTCCTTCTTTTCAGAGGAGAAGTGCAGTCCAACAACCCTCTAGCTGAGGCTATAAGAATATCTCTACAGCACCTAGGAATAAGGATGTAAGAGAGCCTAGGCTTATCAGGTAGTTGAGTCAACTATTCACATTCCCCTCCCTTGCCCCCACTGCCTCTGTATCAGAGGCAGCAAGGAAGGGAAGCAGGAGCCATTCCTAGGAGGGGGCAGCCAGCTTAAAAACTGGTTCCCCCCAACACCATCTCTGTGGTGCCGCCTGCCCCTCTCCTCACTGCTGCCTCTATCAGAGGCAGCAGCAGGGAAGAGAGGGGGCTGATGCCACAAATCCAATGGCTGTCTGCAGCCCCTGTCTGCGTGAGCTAGGACTGAGCTGGGCTGCTTGCCCACTGTAGCCAGACACAAAACCCCATCTTGTTTTTCCACAAACCCCATCTTGTTCCCCCCCCCCCCCGAGGGCCCCCCGAGAGCAAGAGAAAGGCAGTCAGCCTTTGATGCCCTGGGAACACAGGTTTGCTGCCTGTCCCTGACTCTACCATAAACAGAAACCAGACAGTAAATGGGCTAGCTGACGACCCGGGGCCTCCCGTCGCCCTGATGGCTAGTACCAGTAATTGACACGCCTGCACTGTCCCAGGAGAGGAATCTTCGCCCATCACATACCAGAGGTGCCCATTGTCTGCATTTTCCCAGGTGTAAATTATGCTTTGCACCCTTCGTGGGAAACTTGGCATTCAAAGCCATTTTTCCTAATTGGCCACTTGAAACCAGGAAGAAGCCTACATGACCCAAGGGGTATAAAAAGAGGTTCAGCCGCCCACCCCATTTGAGCTCCAATCATCTATACCTGCTGGCAGGTATTGATTGTCTCCCGAGGTCTGTGGGACGCCCAACCTCGCCCTACTTCTTCCCGAGGGATTGAGAGAAAGACGCTGGCCACGCCAAGTCTGGAACGCAGGGGTGAAAATATATACCTGCTATGTGTCTATTTTGCATGCATTTAATAAGAGCTCAGAGAACCAAAGGGTTTCATGGTACCTGTAAGTAACTTATTAGTGTAATTTCTGTCCTGTCCTTTGTAGTGTCTGTGTTATCTGTAACACAGTAGTAGCATTTAACAGCTAAGTTTACCCTGTAACAATAAAATAGTAACTGTTTAAGCTTTAACCTGACTCCTTCAGTTGCTGTAACAGAACCAAGCACAATTTAAAAGAACTTCAGCCGGTCATGAGGGACTCACTGCCCTGACCGTCGGCTGACAAAACCCACCTGCCTCTTACTACATTTTAAATGCAGAGCTGCAGCAGGGTTTCATCCCAGACCTGGCGTGAGCCGGGACTGAGCTGGATGCCTATCAACTAATCAAGTAATCAATAAAAATTCTATCAACTACTGAATTAGTTAAATACCAGCTTCTTAACATTCCTACCTTGAAATTGCTGAACTGGGGCTTATCTAGCAAAGTGCTTTATGCACGTGTTTGACTCTAACAGAATTAAGGCTCACAGTTGAATTTAAGCATGTGTCTCCCTGTTTTGATGGGCTTGGGCTTTAATACACAAACACTTGGTTTCAGTTTCCCCATCTGTAAAAGAGAGAGATGGTTTACTTACCTAGTCTGCAGGGTGTTGTGATGAACAATGCTTTTATGAAATTGTAAAAAATAGTCTAATAATCTGTTTCAATACTTATATTATTTTCATTCTGTGGCAACTCTATTTATAAACAGAATGTATGGATTTAACATACAGAGTAGATAAAAACACAGACTGGTACCTCGGAAAGGTTTGAATTTGTTCTCCAGATCAAATTCTTGTCTTCCAAGCCGAGATAAGTCAACTATGAGATCAGGACAAATGGCATATTCCTCAAGGGTTTTGCTGATCTGATAAATTTTGTCTGAAACAGCATCTGGGGCAGGTCCTGGAAGACAAACATTATAGAGTTTTTTTCTGACAATGGCTCACTTTTCAAAAACAAAAAGAATATTCTCTATTGTAACTTACTGTAAACAACTCTGGTGTGCTCAAACTAAACAAGCCCAGAAAAAATGGCTGCAGATTTTTTTCATAGATTTTTTTTCCACTTAAAGCAAACACACAGAGTTTAACATGTTTCTGTAAGATAGGGCCCGGCTTGCCTGGGTCTGGCCCCTGAGGCTCAGGACTTCACTGCTCCAGTACTGGGGCACTTGCAATGGTCCTCCAACCTCGCATGGTGCTGAAGCAAACAAAATTTACTACCCTGCCTGCGCCCGCCCCCCACACAAGGCTCTGCTGTGTGAGAAGAGTGTAGGGAGTGTCTTTCTCCTTCTCAGTCAGGGACCACATCAGTGAGGTTTGTTTTGGGTTTTTTTGCTTCCACTTGCGTGTGGCCTCCGACTGATTTTTCTGTGGGTCAATGGCCCCTGACCCAAAAAAGGTTCCCCACTCCTGCTGTAAGAAATACAAAACTGAAAATGAAATATTTGTTTCAGATTTTTTTAAAAAATGAATACAAATCTCCATACAAATAAATCAGCAAACCACCATCATTCGGATGTATTGCTAAAGAAATGTGCTACTTATTAGTACTCTTCAGTAAATCTGAGTGTGCGTTTTGAATTAAAACTGGTATTTCACATGCTGCTTCTCTATTTTTCCAAAACTACAAAAAACGTGTTTAAAATACAAGAGTAAATTTGGGTCCAGAATTGTCTTAAAATCCAAGAATCTATCATTTTAAAAGCATAGTTCTGCTCCAAAAAAAAAAAAAAGACTCATTCTGCTCCCTCACAGATATTACTTTGGTACCTTCATACACTTCTTTTAGTTCTAATTCCACACCATTCCCAGTAACGTTGTTGAATTCAGGGCAGCTTTGCCATGTAAATTAAGGTACCGTTCATGCCACGTAAGTTAGATGTAATACACAATACCGAACAAGGGATAGTGGCAGTAGTACAATGATTGCTTACCTTCTTATTATAATACAATCATTTAGCTATGAAGAGACCTCTGCTCATTTCATTCCAACCCCTCCTGAGTCAGGACAGATTTCATTAGTCCTAAGTCACTACTGATAGATGGATGTCCAGTCTACTGATAATATTCCAGCTATAGTGATGCCACAGCCTCCCCTGGCAGCTTGTCTACCGCCTAACTGTTCTCATAGTTAGAAAGTTTTTCTTAATACTTAACCTATATTTTCCCAGCAGCAACTTAAGCCTATTATTTATTATTGTGCCCTTGTTGACTAATGAGAATTAGTCTGTCTCATCTGTTTTGGCAGAGAGTTTTGTTTTTAAAGCTTAATAAGTTATATGGATTTTGCTTAAAATGCCAAAATAGGCAAAAGAAACTCAAAATGTTATCCATCTGTCAAGCAGATTCTAGGGAGAGAAGATTTAAGTTTGCTGCAACAGTGCATCTAGTGATTAAGGCATGGGACTTTTATGCTTTAGTCCTAACTGTCCCACTGACTTGATGTTTGATATTAGGCAAGCCACTTAACCTCTCTGGGATTCAGGTATTGGTTATGCACAAAGCTGCACTGATTTAGCATCACACCTTGTGATGCAACTGATGCAATTACTGTGCTTCAACAAACCTGGAAGTTTCCCCACCTTCATCATGAAGATAATAAAGAGAGCTTGTAAATAACTGATATTTTGCTTTGCTGACAGTCCAAGCAAATAAATCTACTGTATATTTGAGAGAGTTTGTCTGTTTGTTCAAGAATTCCTCCTAAATGGTAAAAGCTAGAACCAATAAATTCAGCATAGAGCTTCCTCTTATCATAATTTAACGTAACGTAAGGGTTTGGTTGTGCCAGGAAAATGGGATGGGATTGCTTCTCATAAAACTATACAGAAAAGAGACAGAATTACTAAGCAGGTGAAAGGGGTTGGCTGGTGTCTCTCCCTGCCCGAGCCCTGAGCCTCCCATATCCCAGGTGCCATTTAAGGAGCATGGGGGCCGCTGAAGCTTCATGCCCTCCCAGATGCGTACAGGAACATTGCTGGCTGTTTCCCTTCATCAGGGAGCAAGAGGAAAGTGCACAGTTTGCTGCATTTCTCACTCTGGCTGGAGAGCACAGGGGATAGACAAACCTGAAGCTGCCTCAGCCAGGGGACATGCACCTCTCCCCGTGCTGTGCCCACTGGAACTGCAGTGGCCATGGACAGGAGCTTCTCATCTGGCCGCCAGCTGCTGCAGTGAGAGAAGCCTAAGGTAGCCTTTTCTCTGCAGGGCAGCCTACATACTGAACCCCTCATCCCCATCCCAGAGCACTGATTTAAATGAAGTATATACATTTTCATTTTATTTTCCAAAAGCAAAAATTACTGGAATTAAGGACCTGAGCAATTATGGGTAAAACTTCTAGTTAATTAATTAGGGTGCGTCTACACAGCACCCTAAACTCGAAATAAGATACGCAATTTGTGCTATGCAAATTGTGTATCTTATTTTGAAACAGCTTATTTTGAAATTTGGTGCATCTACACAGTGCCAAATTTCAAAATAACACTCTATTTCTAGCCATCCATAACTGTTCTGCAACGAGGTTTACCAGGATGGCAAAATAGCACACCTGTTATTTCGAAAAATATTTTGAAGTAACGGGCAGCTTGTAGCTATTTCAGGGAACGTAACCCGAAATAGCCATGCAGTGTAGACGTATCCCTAGTTAGTTAGTAAGTAAATGAATAAAATAAAAAAAAAAACATGTTTTGGGCCAAATTAAATGTTTAATTTTGATCTTGAACAATTTTTTTAAAGTTGTGCGGGACTTTATAATAAAAGTGAAAGGCATTTCTAAACAAAAAGTTGCCTCAAATGAAAAAGTCAAAATGCTAACCTTTGCAAATTTTGAATCTAAATATTTTTACTTTCAGAACTTCTCTCTCTTTTTTTGGATACCAACATAAATTTATTAATCAGTAGGGTGTCACCAAATTGGAATGTTTTGCCAACAAATTTCAGGTGAAAAATATTGTCCATTTCTATTAAGTACCCTCACTTTTGTAAAGGACCTGAGAGTTTCAGATGAAAAAGCACTATAAAGTGCCAAGTATTATTAATCATGATTATGATGTATGATGGAAGCAGAAAACCAAGTAAAATTATCATCTTTACAGGTGAATTTCCATGCTTAAGGAAATGAGGAACTAGACTAACAGTACAAGCTAAAGTCTCATCTTTTGTCTATACACATGATACCGCTTTAAATGTACCATTGTATTTAAAACAGTTCAATCCCCTTCCGTGGGTGCAGTTATACTGGTTTAAATGTGCTTATACCAATATAACTTTATTCCAATATAGGAAGACCAGGGCACGGTCCTTTAGGTGCTTTTGAAACTCCCAACCTTAAAGCAAATGCCAAGATATGTATGATGGATATGTGTGCAGGACAGGACTCCATTACATTTCAGTTCCATAAAGTGGGTGACAGCTTGCCTGGAGCAAGGCGTTCCAGGCTGCAAGTTTTCACTTGTCTTTCTAATAAGAATTTAAAGTTAAATCAAAAATTGGTCACTTGACCCTTTATATTTCAAAACAAATCACCCAGTCTGCTGCACCACTTAAGCAGAGATGCAGTCTGATAGTTAGGCCCTGGTCCAGACCTAGGGCTGGGGCTCTGGGTTCAAACTGAGATTTTTACTCTCGTGCCCCAGCTTTACCCAGCACTTCCCCTTTGACAATGCAGGCAAACCTTCTTAATTCACCTGGTGGATTCTGATTGGCTGTGTCCTCCTCCCAGCCCTTTCAGGATTTAGTTTTGTTGGCACCTGAGACTGGCTTTTCTAAGCAGGAGGGGTGCCAGGGTGTCAACTCCACCAGCAAAGGCAGAACGGACATTGTCACACATCTACTAGCAGAGACTAAATATAATTTAAAAAACAGGATGATATTCAGCAGCTCTTCTGTACATAAAAACACCTATTCAGAGATTCAGAGGGAACTGAACTAAGACGTATATAGACTCAGGGTATATTTTTTCCATATAAAATAAATATATATATATATATAAACAAAACCTCTTCTAATATTGAAAACTATACAGCATCCATATAACAGGAAAGCAAATAGTTATAATCATCTGGCTATCTGTATCAACCTATTTCTACCTTTCTGAGTGAGATACAATGATGTAATGTGTTATAAAAACACCTACCTCCATTGGAAACATTAAACTTGACTCCAAATTCTCCTCCAGGTCCTCCAGGACTGTGACTAGCTGTTAGAATAATTCCACCAGCTGCTTTGATCTTTCGGATAATACATGAAACAGCAGGTGTGGATAAGATGCCATTTTGGCCAATAACCAATCTTCCAATCTAAATAAACCAGAAAAAGAATTCTAATTATATTTGGTTGATGCTGGCATTTCATCTCTAAATGATACCAACTTGCTAAATAATTATTGTACATATGTCTATCTGTATGTACAACATATAAAAATATGGCTCAATTCCCACCATGGCTGGAAGCCCAAGACCTATAATGCCAATATTTAAGCTAGCTGTGGAACAATTACAACATAACTAAGAATACTGGAAGTTAATCTGTTAGACCACCGCTGATGACAAACAATGGTTTGAATTCTATAGTGTGAAGTAGTCATATGTGGTCAAACTGACTACTCCTCTTAAATATTTCTTACAATGATGTGATTTAAATTAATACACACTACTACCCAATTTGGCCTTAACCTTAAAAAAAAATTAACCCTCAGTAAAAATTCATTAACTTCACCTATGCAATTTGCTGAAACATTTAATTAACTTATACTAATTGTAAAGCATTTTTATACCAACTATTCCATAATTAAGATACCTACTTATACCTAAACATACGCAAATTAGACTTTTTAGACACTATTGGCCAAATTCTGCTTTCATTTACACAACTGGGAAGCGGGAGTAACTCCTTTGAAGAAGCAGGATTTGGTCTCAAGTAAACAGTAAAGCAGAACCACCCAGACTTTGGAGGGTCACACAGGCCATTTGCCAAGAACAATATTAAGGCCCCAGACCTGCTATTGGATCCACATAGGCAGAACTATGCACCTACACAGAGCCCCAGGGGGGAAAAATAATCAAGGGGACCTCACACAAGTGGAAACATCAACTGTGTGGATCCGATAGCAGGGCTGGGGCTTTAGTTAGCATAAACTGAGAACAGATAGCAACTGCTTTTCACAGAGTGGTCTTTCAGCTGGATCACTGAGGTCATGCATGTTAGGGCCTACAGTCGGTGAGTCATACCTCTGTATCTAAGTCAAGGGTACCAGTGCCCTAGCTGTAGAACACTGTGACCTGCATTTGGCCTGCAAGGTCACTCTTTGCTATATTTGAACACAGGAGTTCCTGTCCATTTGTAAAACAGAGCAACCTTTCAGGGGGCAACAATTAAACACAGCCTCAACGCAGTCAGAATGAAGTGCAAATCCATCCCAAGATTACAATTTCAAAAACCTTAGTCTCGTCCCCGAATCAAACACTAGTTTCAGCTCAATATAAATATAATTCAAGAATCAATCATTAATATATGGATAGGCAAATATAAGAGAGTTCTAGCTAATAGGAAACAGGCAGCTTGTAAAACCAGTGGGAGAGGTTAATGCCACAGACAAACAACAAGGCACTGCATGCAGAAAATTAAAAAAACATTTCTGGCTTGATTTTTTTTAAGCTGACTCATTTTAAAAATGCCAGAGGGCATCTCTTTAAAAGAAAAGGTATTATTGGAGAGCACAGTTTCTTCAAAGGAGCTCTCTGTCCCCTTCTCTGGCTTGGGGAAAGCAAAGCTAAGCCATCCTCATCCTCACTGTCTGCTAAATGGGGGGACTCAACTAGTGTTACCAGGTAGCTTCAAAAAAAATACCGGACATACCTGACCGGGGGGGAGGGAAGGAACCAGCCGGGAGGGGAGCAGGGCTGGCTGGGAGGAGGTGGGGAAGGAGAACTGGCTGGCAGGAAGCAGGACCTGATGGCGGAGGGAGGGTAAGGGGCAGTGGGGCTGGCTGGGGGATATCGGGGGGAGGGGTCAGGGGCTGGCCAGGGGAGATTGGGGGGGACCGGTTGGCGAGACGCAT